CCCACACCCCAACTCCCTGCCCTGGGCCCCCACCACACCCCACACCCCTCCTGACCCTCCCTGGGGGCAGGGAGGGGGCGGAGTTGGGGTGGGGATTTCAGGGAAGGGGTTGGAATGGGGGCAGGGAAGAGGCAGGGGCGGGGCCTCATGGAAGGGGTGGAGTGGGGGCGGGGCCGAGGGCGGCGGGGGGGAGGTGTCAGTAAATGCAGCCCTGGGGCCAATGTACTAGTCCTTTTGAGTTTGAGACCCCTGCTCTATATGGACATCAAGGTCCATCCACTTACATTTATCTTCTTTGGAAAGATGAAGGGCTGAGCTGTCCATGATATTTAAACCTAAGACTTCAAGGATTTTATACCTGACGTTTAGATCCCAGAGGTGTAAAACACAAGTCATTTTAGAAACAGAGGTCCAGGCTAAAGCTGTATATATGTCTATGTACTTCACAGGCCTTTGACAATGATGAGTTTTCACATTTCAAAACTGCTGAATGAGTGTGGCTAGTCTGGTATATTAGGCAAGCACTGAACCATTAATCATGTTTGATCTTCCCACATTGGCAGCACATCCCTTTCATCTTAAACCACGATGCTTCCGCACTTTCCAGTCAAATGGTAAATAAAATAAAAATAAACAAACAAACCTGTTGTGACTTCATGTATCACTTTCTTGTGGGCTTCATATGGCATAACTTGCAAAACTTTAAAAGGAACAATGATCTCTCGTGTGTGTGATCCCATATTTATACACACAACCACGGACATTTTCAGTAGCTGAAGATATTGTTGGTTCTGCATTAACTGTGATTTCTAGAATTGCAAATGTGTTCCAGCTCAATCCTCATGTCTTTAAGTACAATAACATCTACTTGCCAAAGAGCCTTATTTTTCAAATTAAAGTTTATTAAAATGACAAAAATAGAAGTTTCACATATGAAATAAGAGGGCATACATGGTACAGGCCTTTAGTAACAACAGGTGAATAATGCTTAAGCTAAAGCACATAGGCAGCTGAACCATTCATTAACATACAATCTCAGGTTAAGAAAATCTAAATACTAATGCAAACATGATCATAGACAGCTACAAAAAGGCAGAATAATTCCCTCCAGAAACAAAGAGCTGGGCCTCCTCCATCCTCAAGATGGAACAGAATGCATTGATGCAGATTGGTCTAGCATTCACATATGGGAGGAAGCATAAGATGAATCAAAACATTTACAGAGTAATGCTTTCTTTTATTATTTTTAAAGTATCATTTTGTTGTAAAATAATCAAACTAGAAGACCTGAAGAGCGCAGTGCAATGGCCCATCTGCATATGACGTTTATTGCTAAAAGACAAAGAACAGCCACCCAAACAAGGGCTTCTGCAACATAAATTGAAGTAAATGGAACAAAAGTCCATGTTTTGTTTAATTTGCAAGGGTTTGCTGAACAGTTCTAGGACAGATGTCTAGCTGCTCTCACATCACTAACATCCTAATTATTAACAATCATCAGAGAGGAGCATATGAGAAACCTCAGATCTTTAATCTCAACCCTGAAGTGCTCTTTCCGTTAAAAATTAAATATTTGATTCATCTGAATATTCAAAGAAACTAGATAAATATTAAAACGTGTATAAGAATATACCAAATTCTTAACCATACAGCTCAATCAACTACTATATAGTGACTAATAATTTCTCATTCTAGCTTAGACCAGTTTATTCTTGATATTCCATTCCTTCTACCTACCCAGTGCCTCAGCGTACCAGGAGAGCTCACACGAAGATTATTTTATCGTGGTGTTGAAGTCTTCCGCAGAGCTATGCTCTACCTCCTAGTGCTTCTTCCAGTTAGTAACCGGAATGAGATATGGACGTCTACACTAGCTGCTTCAGACTCAGCTATGAAAATGTGTCACCCTACAGAGTATCTCTGCACTGTTCCAAGTATACTTGCCTCTAAGAGGAGAGAAAACTGGTCGAATAGAAATTATTTCTTTAAGGTCACCTATCCATCATCATTCCTTGGCTAAATGTTTGTAGCAAGAGCCTTGAGGATATGCTTGGATATGCTTCCAATTCCTCCCTCTTTGCACACACACACACTTTATAGCTGTTGATTAAATCAAGTATATAGCACTGGATTTTAGTCTAAGACAAGCTAAACACAAAATACACACTGCAATTCAGTCCAATACATTAATAATAAAAAAATTCACCACAGTCATTAAAAATCACAAGGCCATCTGTAACGTCTGCCAGCAGCCGTGCCCTTGTGTATGGCTACACCAATTAAAAAGAGTCCAAGTTCCTGCTAATGACTCTGTGCTTGTAACAAAAATGTATGAAATCCTGGTCAACTAGCCAAGACTACAGCTAAATGAGAGGATATTCCAGTACACATATGTAATCTAAGCTAAGGCAGGGTAGACTGCATACATTTGTGCTACATATCAAAGCTACCATAATAAAGTTTTAGAAAATAAGTAAAAAAACAAAACAACCCACACATGCACCTCTGGAGCAATGCTGAGTACAGTAAGCTACGACCAAGTGCTAGCTATTCCCTGTCAGTAGTGTCACCCACAAATGACATGATTAAGACACATTAAGTACGTTTCAAACCTGATGGGGAACAAACTTTTATCTGTACAATATCCACTTGAAACTGTGCAACACAAAACCCTTGGATCACGTTTCCCTCCTCCCCTAGTCTTTTCAGCTGTTTAAAAGGTACAGTACTTTCTTCTTGAACTTAAAAGGCGACTTTAAAACCATAAAGCTATTATGAATTAGTGACACGGCAAAGAAGGGAAAGAGGAAGTTAATATTCAAATTAAGATACCTTTTTTCCTCATTATTTTTCTCTAACTGCACTGCCTGAGAAACTTACATTTTCTAGTTGAATTCATTTTACAGGAATGATGTTGTTAACCATAGTTTGCCATCATGATCTGCATACTGCTTTCTGTGCTATATATTAATAAGGATGACAGGTTTTAACCGTCTGCGAAATAAAACAGATATCTGCTTTGCCAAATAAGTCCACATGCAAATCAGATTCAGAGAAGGAGATTCTCTCCGGGAACCTCATATAAAAAAAGACAGCTGGCTCCTTCCCGTAGCTGCTACCCTGCTAACTCAGTTTGGAATCTGAAAGTCAAACTGGGTTTTTTCTGTTTTACACCATCACTAGTCATAAAGATTCGACAATCAGAAATGTAAGATGTCATTTTTGTTGCTAAGGCACCAGAGAGAACGGAGGCCTGCTTCCTCCATGATTATGTAAGGAGGTAAAACAGGGCTTGTGCAGTGAAATAAGCAGATCTGACTACAGATGCTCAGGGAAGAAACCTGGGGCCATTTTTACATAGCAATTTTTTTTAAACCATAACATCAATTCAAAACAGCTCTGTAATAAGCTCCAGAACAGATCTTTCCATGCAATTATGTCAGAAGTCCATATCCGAAAGTAAAGAACCCAACGTATAACAAATCAATCCACAGTGACAGTCAGACCTATTCTTTTTAAATGGCTTGCAAATACCATATTACTCAGACCCCCCCCCCCCCCCCACCAGTGCATGAATCACCGGCATTCATAGTTAAACAAATTCAAATGCACTGGAGAAATAGTGAATGACAGAAACCTCCAGTACTCTGATTCAAGCACTGATGCTCCACGAGAGCGCCAGTCAAAGCTGTAGAGGAAGATTCTTCAGTGGGAGCACAAGTCCCACTGCAAGTCTGCTCCGGAATTCTCGGTCACAAGCATGAATTACACACTAGAGGTCACTTCTCACGTTTGATGGAAAGTCGTCCTCCAAGACATCCTTTTATTTGCTAGGGGAAAACAACACTGGCAAGGAATCTCCTGAAGGGCATTTTGAGCGTGAAACTGACAGCATAGTCACTCTCCTGCATGTGGGGACAGAAAGCTTGTGTAGCAGGGTAAATCTAGGAGAATTTGTCCGGTATGCATACTAAAGAAAGGATCCCTTGTAGCCTCCCTTGGTGATGCCTCCAAACACAAAAATGTGATTTTGGCAACCAATTATTTTGGCCAGTACATAAATGGGTACCAAGGGAAGTAGTATGTAATAAAAGCCTTAGTACATAGACAGACCAGACACATGCAGACACCTGAAGTGCATCTGTGAAATGGCATCAAAAGCTCACTGCCCAATTATGAGACTTAGGCCGTGATTCTGCAAATGCGCACACACAAGAGTAGTCACATGGAGTTCATGTATAAAAGTTAATCGTGTGCATAAGTGCTTGCAGGATTGAGGCTCTCTATCACAAAGCACTGCAAAGAGCATTCTATACTTCCCAGAGTCAGACGTAGGTTTGTAATTGACTTTCTACATCAGATTTCCATAGGAAATTCTTGACATTTTGGCACAAACATGTATGATATTTAACAGGAACAAAATGAAACAGATGATTGAGTGGCAAAGAATAAGTTATGAAATGTGTATGGCAAATTTTAGCTTGTAGCAAGCAGTGTGGGTTTGTTTGTTTTTTCCAGTTGTGGAAGTTATTTCTGCTTGCCATGACAGTCACTACAGGGAACAACTACCATTACAACTGTCAAGGGAGGATATTATAAAATACCTTTTTTTTTTTTAAATACATGTAAAAAACATGTTCTCCCCTTATACTTTCTCCAATAGGCAGAACACCTTGAGAGTAGTCTTTAACAACAGAGAGTATTTCTGTATCTGAGATGTCATAGCTAAATTTGTAGAGTGGCATGGGATAGCACTGTATGCTCTAAATCAGGTTACTCCCATGTGCTCTTTCTGAATGTGGCAGCAAGGACTGGGTAGCTCTCTTCCCTCGGCCCCACCACTAAGCCCATAAAATTTAAAAAGTGTAAGACACCATTCAACATATTGAGAGGATACAATACAAAAGTTCATGTAAGTAATATAAATGGCCTACCTAGCAAGTAAGGCTTAAACTCATCCAGATGTGGCAAGAGCTAATTGCAATGAGTTACAAACACTTGTCTGAGAGCTGCTCTAGCCAATCAATATCACTGCAGTGACATTAAAATAAACCTTAACATCAGTCTTTTGCTTCACGTAAATCCAGTCTCTGAGATTACTGTGATATTAACTGTACATCTCACGCACAAAGCCAGGCCTGCCTCATTGCCCGCTTTCTGACAAGGGAAAAACACTCCCTCTGGGGGACCCCTCGGTGCTTTGTTGGAGGGATCTCTCTTGGGAGTGTGTTGTTTTTATTTAACACCTCTGCCCCTCTGCTGTGGTGGGCCCATTCAGAAAGGGCAGACACATGCCTGCCAGGCTGTCAGACAGTAATGCAGAAGCAGGGCTTGGCAGCAATGTTCAATGGGATCTGCTTTACAGAGATGCTACATTGCATTGGGCTGAAGTTCTGTAACACAAATGGAAAACCTCCCCCAACCCAGTGAGCACCTGGTGAAAGCAGCGTCCCTGTGATCGGAGCTGTACATAGCAGAGGCAACATAGGCACAACAAGGATTTAAATGCAGAATGTTTGCTTCACTCCACTAAAACGGAAGTCCATGTTCTTAGCATGAAAAACATCAGCTTCAGATTCTTACTCCAATGGCCCATAATATATGCTAACACAGTTTCAGGGAAGTGGCTTAAAATGAGCACTTCATTTAAAAATAACCTCTTGTTTTTGCAATTCATGTTTTTTCTGATCATATGAATACTATGGAGAATTTATTTATTATGCTTTTTGCTAAGGGATAAACTGATTCCATTTTCCAGAGTCCTTGTTTTGCCCCCCAAGGAGATGTTTCCTTAAGATACACTGGAACAACGAATGCTTGGGGAACCCATTTGTGTAAGGACCTTGTCTAGCCACTGCAAAGGGCCATTAAGATGCAGTTCAATCCAGCAGGGGGTACTGGTCACAGTCTGCCGCCTAGAAGAATAAAAAAAGAACAGAACAGAAATGTGACTTATAAAACTTTAAAAATATGAAGAGATTTTACAGCTACTAAAACATTCTTTCCTGCTTAGACAATAGTCCTGCATGTTACCCCAAAGGAATGTCTTTCTTCTCTATAACGTTTTGTGCATATGCTGCCAAATTCTTTTTACAAAAAACTAAAAAACCCCAAAAACCCTTTCCCCCTTCCATATGCTTTAAGTTCATGGAAGAAGATAATTGCAATAGCATCTACTTACTACTTAAAGATTTCTGAAAGGAGGCAACATTTGATCCTCTAGATAGAAAGGAAGGCTACCGTCTAAATGACTTTCACAGACCTTGTCTCTTATAATTAGATTGGATCTAACACTTCACTATGTGTATAATTTAAAAATAAAAATAAAAATCAGGATACTCTCTCAATGAAAGAATTGGGTTTTAGCAGCTGGTTAAAGTTCAGATATGGCAGAATTTTGGAAAGATTTATGGGGATCTCACCCCGTCACCCAGCTGACATCTACACCCACTCTGAAGGTGTGGCTTGGTCTGCACAGCAGGACTTCTGCAGAGAACAGCTTGGCAGTGTGCAGAGAGGGTTCAGACCCATGCATTGGATATCTGCATTTCCCACCCTTCCCCCTTCCACAGGCTCAGAGTCCCTGCAATAATTGCTGTAGTTATGCTGTTTCCAGGGCTGTTGTAGGGAGGAGAAAAGTTTGGATTTGACCAATTGAATAAAAGGAGCACCTAAGATGCAGACCTGCCAGGCACTGTAAAAATAATTTTTTATTATACATACACACACAACTAGACCAGTAGGTATTTCAGAAACACATCATTAATCCATGGGATGCCACTAACCCGAATCTCCTAAACAATTCAAGTGGAAGCTGTAGCGAGTGGATGGAGGAGGCTTAGCCAGAGCTGTTGCCTAGTGGAACTTCTATCTTGGCCTGCATCCCCTTCCTCCCTCAACCTGCCTTCTTACTAAGTCCTCCCTTCTCAGGTCAGATGCCATTTGGAGCAGGTTATGTGCCTCCACAAGGCATGAGGGCCACGGAGCAGGGAGAGGAAGGCCAAGGGACATGGTGGGGGAATCTCTCCTCCTGCTTGAGAACAGCAAGTTGGATTTCAGCTTTTCACCAAGGGAAGGCTTAGGGGTCTTGTTCTGGGGCTGGGAGGCAGGTGCAGCTGTTGCAGAAAAGGAGGAAGAAGAGGAAGAGGCTGGAGAGAAGTGTACTCTATATCTCAGCTTAGAACCCATCCTCAGAGTCTTATGCTTTAATCATTTAAGAAGAGGAAGCCAAAGCCTCAGTGGCCTTGGGAAAAGCTGCTGCTGAATCAAGACCCTAGCTGGTGTTGGGGTAATCTCTGAGGGGCTGCTACATGCGTTGTGCAACAGCTATGTGAGCTGCAGAACAGCAGTGAGAAGATCCCTTCTTAGCTGCCTGCATGGGCGAGAGCTGCAACCTATTCTATCTATGAATGTATATCCATTACCCTCTGATCTTAAAATGGAGACACTGCCTGGAAGGCACCACACCCATTTCCAGATCAGGCGTGGCTGACCAGAGTTGGCAGCATACTGTGTGTTGCCACAAGAGTGGGTGTACTGGCAGGGTTTATCTAGTTCAGTGGCCCAAGGGTGAGTCTTTTGTACTAAAAGATGTCTCCTGAGCCACCTGGACAAAAGGATTGCAAGGGAGAGTGGAGCAACTCTCTTGCTCACTCTGACATTTCAGTGAAGCATACATCCCCTTCATGGCCATTATGAAATTAAAACTCTCACTGAAATTAACACTGGAATATTTGTCCGCTCCTCAAACACTGGCTGACAAAGAGCATACCACCAAATGGCTCAGCACCATTACATACAAATCCATTCTTTAGCATGCTGTTTCCCCCGGTCCCCAAGTCTATAACATTATGCTTTATTTTGACACTCTATTAAGACAATCAGACTTCACTGACAGCACATCAGCTTGAAGATGGATTTCAGTAAGTTAGCCCAGGGAGGCCTTCTGGTTGCTTTTTGGCTTGCCTGCATTAGGCTCTGCTGTCAGAGAAGAGCCTGTGTGTCATGGACTTCTTATGCAATTGCCACCCTGATCGCTGGAACACAAAAACACTCAAACATCCTGCCAACAGATTGCTCAACTGGGTAAGCAGCTAAAGCACAGATTACTAGAACAATGCTCTGGATGCAGCTTTCAATAAGCTTTTCATATGAATCAGTTCAACAAATAACTGTGCTATGACAAAGACAATTAGATATAATTTCTCGTGGCACGGAAGCAAAAGTTGGGCTTTGCTACAGTAAATGTGAGCGTAGAGTTTCACTGACTACAATACTCCAATGAGATAGCTGACTTCCAGTAAGTCATGCTCATCTGGATTTCATTAGAGACCATGGCTGGGAGCCACAGCTGAAATGGTCTGGCCTGGGTGCAGAAGATTTAAAAACAAAATGGACTCCAAACATCTGGAGAGATGAAGGAAGTGGGAGAGTAACGTGAGAGGCCTGGGCTCCAGCTGATACTATAGCATCATCCCCCACCCCCACAACCCCTTCTGCTGCAGGAGACTGTAAAGAACCACCAGTCAGGCATGTCTGCAAGCATATCCAGAGATAGTAAATATCCCCATGGACTCTTTAAATAAGGCTGTAGATTTAAAGGGACACCATCAAATAATTATTTTAAAGATCTTGTTTTAATCCTTTGTACGTTGTTCTGTCACAAAACCACCTTTATTTCCTGACCAATTTCATTTCCCCCATTTGGCATTAGCAAATATTGCCTTTCCTCCTTTGTGACTTATGGAGCATTTATAAGCGCTGTTTGCTTGATAAATGCAATACTACTCAGGATGGCAGTATAAGCTCTGGCATTTGTTTTTAACCTGTGCTCTCTGTACGGGTACTGTAGTATTGGGAAACACCACACTGTATGTCCTAACTACAGTGGTCATTATTAATTTGTCCTCTCAATAGTCCTTTAGTTATGGAAAGGACAGCAAGCCAGATCAGTAATTACAAGGACATTTAAATAACAACTGCCATGTGGCAGGCAATGAGAATGGGGCAAGAAGAATTAGACTTTACCATAATTTTTCAATGACTCTAACCAATATCTTAAAATGTAAATTTCCAAGCCCATCTGCTTTCAATTTAATCCCACAAGTCCCTGATAAAAGAAATGTTAAGGCTAAACCTAATCCAGTAATATATAGTCACAATGATTCTGCCCATTAGAAACTCCAGCAATCAAATTTAAATCTAACATCAAGAAATAAATAACATATAATTTTTCTTACAATGTCCATCTGGATTCACCTACAGTTAAGCTGCAGTTAGAGATCCTGTACTGTACAACACTGTAACCAGATATACATCCTCCCAATGAGGAATGGCGCAGCTTATGCTGTATTGGATTGATCTGCTTTTTCCTCTCATTTCTCCAGTTATGGAAACAAAATTAAAACATTTGAAAAACACGTCCCTAAGAAATGCATACTATCTGCTTTAATTAAACTACTGCCAGCTTAGTCTCCTACTCTAAAAGTAGCATATAAAGACCTTGTTGAGCACTCTGACTCCCAAAATCAAGGACTGGAGCATGCATGATTCGTGATAATAAGCACAAATGTGCTGTCTACTGAAAGTTGAAGACAAAAGATCTGACCTGTATTCAGCTCCCCAGCCCTTGACAAAGCTCATTCGGATTGTGCACATTCTGGTCAGCTGATACACAGCCTCGAAACCCTGATTCACAGACTGAGCCAAAAGGGCTGCAAATTCCTGGTTGTTAAAAATCTTCAAGTTACACCCTGTCAGGGAAGGAACAGGACAACATGGCATTAGTGTAACTAAATTAAGAAATCCCATTTTTTTCTGCCGAAGGAAAGAAACCACTTAACTCTGCTCTCCCCATCCCCAAACCATATTACATTATGGACAGACTGCATAAATAAGAAGCAAGGTTCTAAAAGAAATTAAGTTTGGTTATAAATGCAACACCTCCACAATTCAACCCCTAAAAAAGTAAGGAAATACCAAATGATGGGCCTACTGCCCCTTCAGCATGTTTCTGTTGACTAAAACAGACTGCATCACCACATGGCACTTCCTTCTACCTCCCAAGGATAAAGAAGGTGCACTACACAAAGCACATTCATCTTCCCGCATTACAATGCAAACCTTGATTACAACTTCAACCCTTAATATTTGCTAATTTTGCTGACAGTGTAATTAAGGAATTAGTAGAAATGTACAAGCTAAAAACAAAAGAAACCATAAAAGCTGAATTTAGATGGTATCCATTAGCAGAAGTCATCACCACCCCATCCTGTACAGAGCCAGTTGCCAAAATAGCTCTTGCTGTCAAAAGTCAGATGTCAGGACTATACTATATAGTTTGGTAGCAAGTACTATAGTTAAGAATGCAGGACTGTTTCATTTATAACCCTCTTTTCACTTGTTCATAATGTTCCAAAGATTTCCCCTTCAAATTGAAATTTTCCATGCTTGGTCCCAGCTGAAAGCTAAAGAAGAATCCATTCAGCTGGTTTTGAGTTCTGGGTAGTTGAAAAATAACAAGTTTCCCAGTGTAAAAAATTATTGCCACACTTTTTTTACCCAGAAAACTTAAAAACTGCTGGACTTAAAAACTTGGCACATGACTAGTGTTCATTTGGGAGGATGTCCAAGTTTGAAAAACAAATGCTTGGATCAAGACGAATAATAAGTGATTTAAAAAAATCACGCCTGAGCATGCTTTATGAGCCTGACCATAACCGATATTGTCATCTGTTTGGGGATCAAACCATTTTTGCTGGGAGCATGTCTACATGTAGGGACCTGGCGGCTACATGTAGGGACCTGGCTACCCATTGGTTGAGTCTGTAAGAGTTCCGCTGAGAAAATCAAGGAGCAGGCCGTCCTAGAACAAATCTTGCTGGGCGATATATGGAAGCTTGTGTTCAGTAAGAGGAGAAGCTTCAGGGAGAGCAGACCTGGGGGTGGGGGGATGCTCCATTAAAGAGCGAGAGAAGAGCCAGGAAAAGGCCAGTGAGGAAGCCAGGCAAAGCACACACGATGAGGTCCTGGAAAGGAAAGACAGGGCAGTTTGTATTACGGGCAGATTTCCCAATTGTCTAGGGTTCATGGGCTGGAAACCCATAGCATGCTGTGGGCATGGGTTCCCCTTATGCTGCCACTCTCTGAGGCTGGGATACAGCAACCCTTGTGAACAAGGGGAAGAAGGGACTGTTTGGAGTTCAGAAAAGGCTGGACGCTGAGCCCAAGAGGAGGGCTAAAGACTATGGTGGAGGAGTGCAGACCTGCAGAGGAAGGTCTGTGCCGGGCACAAGCCTGGAGCAGAAGATTGGGTTATGTTTGCTTATGGACTTCAATTAATTTTGGAGCTAGTGGACTCTTGTGATTTAGCCAGAGGGTTAAGTCACCTCAGCAACCTAAAAGCACTGGAAGCTGCTGGTGAACCATCTGAGAAGGGAAACAGACCACGGATGGGCCCAAAGCCTCCAACAAGAACACTACCTCAAGGGTGGACTTGCTCATTATTCCAAATATTATTTTCTAAATACTTTTGCCATAAAAATTTGTTTTTAGAAGAGCTTAATATGCTCACACCCTGACTTAACTAACGCAATCCACCCATGTATATCTGACACAAGGTTTATAAATGTATTTTTATTTTCTAAGTAAAGCCTATTAAAATCCCCCTGTGACTTTTCAGTAGGTTTTAGATAGTTATAAGTACTACAACCATGAAAATGAAATGGCCTCATGGGTGGTTTCCCTAAAATAAGATCAATACACTAAAAAGTGTTAACATAAAATAGAAGTAGGAAAATAACAGAGAATAACAAAGATGCTTCTAAATTAAAAAGATTTTCTTCATACATTCATTCAGCAAAAGGTTTAAAAACATTTACTACTACTATTGTATTACTTATTTGTGTAGTACCAATAGTTTGCAAGGCACATCCAGACTAGGAGCCAGATTGTGTTCCTGCTTACATGAATCAGAATCTATTTAAGGTCCCTTACACATTTATCTTTATGAACCAGGACACTGGTGATGGCTGGATATACAGTACAAACTCTCATAACAGTAACTTTACCCTTCATGCTATCAAGGAACACTGCTGAAGTTGTGGAGATGGCATAAAATAGGTTTTAGGTTTCTGATTACTATAAACAAATAGTATTAATTAAATCCAGTTCGTTTTGTTGAATAATTCAACTTCTGTATGCAGAGCTCCCATTCTTCACATGTAAAGATTACACAGGAGAGTGCATACAGCGTAAGTGAGTAAGGCCAGGCTTGGTTACCTGGTGGAATCTTGCAAACAGTTGCGGGGTGCCAGCCGTAACGTTGGTTACAGTTAGGAGATTGGACAAAAATGGCACTGTCGCTAAGGCACTCGGCAAACACCTCTCCTCCAATGTAGTACAGCCTTACTCCTCTTCCTAGAAAACACATGGCACAATTTCAGTTTAGTCACTAGTCAGCAATGACGCATGCAGAAAACATTTATCATATTCAAAACCTCAAACCCTGGGAAGAAGAGTTTTTAGAAATCTGGTTTACTTCTGAATCAAAAAAAGGGAGGAATCAAGCAAGATCAGTGATGATGGAAAACGAACATAGTAATTTTGTTTTCAATGGATGTTGGGAACAACAAACTTCTGTGAGGACTTCAAGCTGAGAAAGATGAGTGAAGTGGAAGAGCAATTTATGAAGCCATAAGCGCATTCTCCAGCCACATCGTCCTTTGCAGCATGCACTGCACAAATCCGTCACTTTGAGAAATGCCTCCCCTAGCCACTCCGATATTCTCCATATGAACTTTTCATCATTTCAACATACGGTTTTCAACCTGCTCCTAGAGTCACCACAGATGTATGGAACTATTTTTAACTGGATTTAGAATAAAATTATATAAGGCTTCTCAACCATTGTGTTTAGCCTGACATAACATTCACTATATCCTTAAATGCTTGAATTCCCATGGGAAATACACAAATGAATATAATAAATATAACCTGAGTCGAAAAATCCTAAATTTCAGGTATCAGTCTATGAAACTCTGATAAACCTCTGCTGTTCTCTCTCACTGCTAGTGTGGAAACTTTGCATTCAGTCTTGCTTGAAGCATATGGAACCTACTGAATTTAAGGATTAATTTGAGATTCTTGGGATTTCTCACATCAGGAACCATTTTAGTAACGAAAAAATTAAAAAGCCTGCTAAGTGAAGGAGCCACTGGTTCTGCCCCAGAGAAGGGTACAAAGAAGAACAAAATCTGCTGGAAGAGGGTTTGCTTTTTTGGCAGGAGGCAGGGAAACTAACTTGTACCATTAAGTCGCATAGGAAGGGCCTAATACTGCCCTCACCAGTGTAAATAGGGAAAAACTCCACTAACTTTTACACCAGTTTAACCGAGGACCGAACTGGGCCCTAACTTGCTATTTAATGTTCAGCCCTGTCAGGAACTGAATCTCCTCTGGTTTTCCATGGTGTAAATCAGGAATAGCTCCACTGAAGGAAATGGAGTTATACTGGTTTAAAATGCATGTAGGTGATGGATGATCTTATAAAAACCTAGATCACAGAATCACAGAATATCATGGTTGGAAGGGACCTGAGGAGGTCATCTAGTCCAACCCCCTGCTCAAAGCAGGACCAATCCCCAACTAAATCATTCCAGCCAGGGCTTTATCAAGCCTGACCTTAAAAACCTCTAAGGAAGGAGATTCCACCACCTCCCTCGGTAATCCATTCCAGTGCTTCACCACCCTCCTAGTGCAAAAGTTTTTCCTAATATCCAACCTAAACCTCCCTCACTGCAACTTGAGACCATTACTCCTTGTTCTGTCATCTGGTACAACTGAACAGTCTAGATCCATCCTCTTTGGAACCCCCTTTCAGGTAGTTGAAAGCAGCTATCAAATCCCGCCTCATTCTTCTGTTCTGCAGACTAAATAACCCAGTTCTCTCAGCCTCTCCTCATAAGTCATGTGCTCCAGCCCCCTAATCATTTTTGTTGCCCTCCGCTGGGATCTTTCCAATTTTTCCACAGCCTTCTTGTAGTGTGGGGCCCAAAACTGGACACAGTACTCCAGATGACATACCAATGCCGAATAGAGGGGAATGATCACGTCCCTCGATCAGTTGGCAATGCTCCTACTTATACAGCCCAAAATGCCATTAGCCTTCTTGGCAACAAGGGCACACTGTCAACTCATATGCAGCTTCTCATCCACTGTAACCCCTAGGTCCTTTTCTGCAGAACTGCTGCCTAGCCACTCGGTCCCTAGTCTGTAGCAGTGCATGGGATTCTTCCGTCCTAAGTGCAGGACTCTGCACTTGTCCTTGCTGAACCTCATCAGATTTCTTTTGGCCCAATCCTCTAATTTGTCTAGGTCCCTTTGTATCCTATCCCTATCCTCCAGCGTATCTACCACTCCTCCCAGTTTAGTGTCATCTGCAAACTTGCTGAGGGTGCAATCCACGCCATCCTCCAGATCATAGATAAGACTCCCATTGATTCAATGGGAGTCTTTCCATTAATTCCAATGGGACTTGGATCAAGCCACTGGTTTCTATTAATGAGGGAACAGGCAGGAAAGAGTAAAAACACAAGAGATCTCTCATAAAATTTAGAAATAAATTTCTTACTGATAGACACAATTCAACTTCTATTATGTCTAATAAATCTATTCTAAAACATCTTTTTATTTTACTGTTGTAAACTATACTTTTATATTATGGAATTTTAATCTGTTAAAATAATGGAGATACTTAACTAAAACTGATCAAGCTACACAGATGGCTGATTTAATCTTCAGCACTTTGTATCCAACCCTCTACACCTTCCCCTCCCACTCAACAGATGGTAACAACAACAAGAAAATAGGCATTACCAATGTGTCGTCTTGTGAGCTCCACTGCTGCATTTCTGTTCACATTAGACAATAAGCCAAGACAGAAGCGTTCTGAGTTAGAAGGATCGGTGAAGCCATCCACGGTCATCGAAGGCTGTGAAGCATGGAATGTCTCCCCTACTCGCTGGTTGAGTTCATAGTAGGATATAGAGCACCAGAAAGCTGGCTCGCAGTAGGTAACAGGCTGCAGATCTGCTCAAAGCAAAACAGGAAAGAAATCAGAGAGGCCCTTTGAAGAAAATGAAACATTTAAGAATATTATTAAGCTCCACTGCTTGTGTTTATTTAACAACCAAGCTTTAATTACTTGACAGATTTGAATGGGTTGCAGAAAGAAAGTTACATCAACCGCAAAGCAGTTGGCATGCAGAATAATCACAAATAGCCACCACTACCACTTAACTGACTTCATCTTTACCACCTATAAAACTGAACTCACAAACTATGAAACACAACATTAATTTCAGGTAGCTACTCCGCTATTTAAAAAAAAAATAGCAAAAAAGTCAATGGGCTAAATTCTGCACTCAGTAACATGTATGTAACTGAGCAAAATTTTGGCCCATTGGTCCAGCTTCTGAGCTCACCGGTGGTTTGATTCAGCCTGTGGTCCCAACTGAAACTAGCTGCACCATCTTAATGCACTGAGTCATTTTGAAGAGGACAGTACAAAATGTGCAAGGGGGTGTGACTGTAAGACTAAAGAAACTGAAATTCTTCTACTCCTGCTAAAGTCAATTCCAGTAACAGTCGATAGTAATTTAATCTCCTCATCCCCATTCTAAGCAAGTGAGGATATCTTAAAAACACTCGAATGCTGCTCCTTGGTTGGGGAGAAGATTTAATGCAACAGAAAGCATTATCCTCCCCCCTCCCACTGCCAGGTTCCCCCCTATGGTATTTCTTCAGTGCTCCGGGCACAGGGTTAGAGAGACCAGCTCTAACAATCAGAGACAGGCCCCACCTCCCCTCCTCGCAAAGAAGAGCAACCCAAGAAGATAGGTTCAGTGTCATTTCATATATAAACATCTGTCGCCAGCTCCTTAGCTTTTAAGAATAGACATATGTCCTGGAAAGTTTTGCCAATTAAGAGAAAGTGAAGCTGCTATCCAGCTGTATCCTGTTCAAGTTCACACTCAGCTATACCCAGAATGCAGCCTTTACACTAGTACAGTCCAAATGATCTTTGCATTTATCTGAACCAGAAAGACAATTATGTTAACAAGTGTTAACGTATCCCAGTAAGTGGGATACAGATGCGAGGTTAGTCACATACCTCAAAAAAACCCCACCACCAGCACCATGTGGAACTGCGCCTGCCTCCACTGAAATCAATGGCAAAATTCCTACTGACTACAGTGGAGGCAGGACCAAGCCCTATTTTATACTCCTCTAAACCAGAACGAGTATCAGTACAGATGCAACATTCTTTCACTGTTTCAGGTATTGTGTAAATAGCGCCCTTACTTCCCTGAACATTTCATGTGTATCCCCATCACTCAATGGTGCGTCTCATATTAATAGAGTAGAGTACCAGACCAGGACTCAGGAGTCTTGGGTTCTAGTCCCAGCTCTGCCACTGGCCTGCGAGGTGACCTGGGGCAAATCACTTCTCCCCTCTGTGCTCAGTTTCCTCATCTGTAAAATGGGGATAATGATACTGACCTCTTTTGTAAAGTGTTTTGAGATGTACGGATGAGAAGCACTAGATAAGAGCTAGGTATTATTACTCTGCTGATTGTCTTCCTCTTCCCCTACTTCCACAGAAGCCCTTCCTTGTGGTCAGTCTCTGGGGGCAGGTCTCTGACAGTTCTTCACAAAGCCCCAGCACCAGTTATTACAGATAGTCTGTAATAACTTGCATTGTAATAACTTATCTCCACAATTTTTGAGGGGAAAGAGTGTTCTCAGGACACCTGACAACCTGCTGCTGGTTCCTTAGGAGATGTGCTGTCCAAGTGCCACAGCACGCCAGGAATCCAAGTAGCAAAGGACCTTCTGTGAAGGCAAAGGACCTCTCTGTGAAAGCCCCTTGACCCCAGCACATCCTATCCAAATCCAGGAATTTTGAAAGGGTGGGAGCCCATTCTTATCTTTTTCTATTGAGGGGCAACCTTTGCTCCCTTCGGTGAACAAATTAAAAGAAAACTACTTCCCAAGCTAAGGCTGACATTTCTGCTCTCCTAGGTGGTATATGCCTGCCTGCATAAGGGAAAGTGAGGCCCAAAGGAATCAGAGTGTAACCCTCCGAGCATAAATTAACAGAAAGTAATTCCATAAAATGGAGTATTTATTTATTACGTTGGCCCTGGCCTCAACTGAAGAGAAATTTATTCTATAACATTCTTATGAGCATAACTTAGGTTTTTTCAAACAAAGCAAAAAATCTTTGAACATTTCCCCTCACACATTCACATTCCATTGTACAAATCCACGAGTCATCATCAAGTACAATACATCCTGTTCCTTTTCCATTTCTGCCTCTTTCTGCTATGTTACTCATTTAACTGCCACACTGGGATTGCCATGTGTCAAGCAAGTTTCTACAATTTTCACTGATTAGCAGTTTTGGACTGAGGCACCTATCTGTGAGTGTTGCAACCATTATGACAAATGTATAGCAAATAGCAATACTAATCAAGGTACATTAAATCATGCTCATTTGCTTTAAAAAAATCCATGCTTGCTCTTATCCAAGAGCAAACATTTCTAAATAAGAGTCTAAGTTTTATAAAAGCAAAACAAGTTTTTGGCCCTGCAAGTGGTATCTTCAGAGTGATGCTGCCCTTGGGTTGTAGAAGCATCCACAACCTGTGGTACTGTATATACTTTTGTGGTACTTTCCTTCAGCAACCACCTCTGCTTGGGTTGTGACTCAAGGGGACTGCGGGTCCCCACTAAAGGATGTACAGAAATTTCACTTCCGGCTTAATTTGCAATTTGAGGAAAGACAGAAACCAACAAACTCACCACTCATGAATCTTGTTGGAAATGCACTAGTCTCTAAGAAATGCAGCTGAATGTTTAATAATGCTGCCTTCCCTATGATTGTGGTGTAAGGCTTATGCTAAGTTTTAAGCCATCATGGAAAGGGTGAGTTACCTCTTGTGTTAGAAGTGGTCTGTACGTATCATTTTGATTTTTATGCATTTGGTTCTCACGCAAGTAAGGACTTTTAGTAATGCTAGATCCACACAATGCCCACAGGGACTGTGCAAACAGCTAAAGAAAGGATATGTAGTAACCAGGTAAACCCTCCTTCAATCTTCCACACACAGCACTGCCAATCCATTTCAACTCTGATACACAAGATGCTTGCTTTTTCCTGTCCTGAGTCCCTCTCATGAAAGGATCCCTATCATGCTGAATCGTGAGGTCAATAAATGTCCCCCGAGTACTGGGATGAGACCCATCCAACTTATTCTCCCATAATCTTTGAGCTAGACCTCTAGCAGTATTTCTGTTGGCTCAGCTGCAGAGGAGAACAACTGCAGGCTCTTTACATCAATCTAAGTAAAAATATAAAATGAATTGATATAACAAATCATTTCATGCTCTTCCCAGCACTCACCCTGCGGTGAGACAGGTCACTGAATTTATCTGAGATCTTATTCATGGAAATTTGGTGAAGTACTTTATACAAAAAGATGGAATGGGACTGGTGGCTCCTTTCTGAAAATTCTTGCATCAAGCAAGAAACAGCACTTGTAATGTATGATCAGAGCAGCAAGCATTTGTTATGTTTATAATACACAGTGCTTGTCGGAAACCCAACATTTTTCCCACTCAAAACTTTGTGGGGGAAATGGCCATTTGAAACTTCTGGTCCAAAAATTTCACTTTTCCACAGTAAATACTGAAACCAGTCAAAACAAAAGTTTCTCAAAGGTGTGAAAAGGTTAAAAAAAAAACACTCACTTTTTTCATTCTGTTTTTAAGTTGGAAAACATTAAAAAAAAAAGTGTGTGAAAAGGGGTTTTTCCATCACGCTTCCCTCACAATTTTTAACAGAGGGAGGGGGGGAAAACCCTGAAAATCCAAAAACTGAAAATTGAATGTTTAGGTTTTTCAGTTTCCAAAAAATTGATATGAGATGACAGTTGAGGCAAAAATGTATTTAATTTTTGAAATACTGACTCTATTCATTTAGAATCTACCTGTAGGGAAATGTTTATCAAAATTGATATTTTTCTGTGGAAAATTTCAGCCAACTCTAATGATATTCAAGAATTACATTAAATTACAAAGATGCTGGCCAGGAAGGTCTCTACTGAGCTAGGGCAGGTCAGAAGAAAATATTAAAGGCCTCTTATTTCAGATCCTAACATTTAGATTGGTTATTATTTTTTTGTAAGGCGACACCATCACTGGATTCTCAGATGACACAGTCTCTGTCAGAAGTTCTGTATTTTAATCCATATGTACCAGTTATGGCTGCCACATCTCTAACTTCATCCTTAAAGCAACACACAGAGAGAAAGCAAGAGAGACTGTGAGCGCAGTCTCTTCATTATCACTACATTCTATAACCACTGAACTTTCAGAAGGGCTTGGGAATACCACCTCTTTTTTTTTTTTTTTTTTTTTTTTTTTTTTTTGAGTAGCAGCGTTGCACCACAGAAAACAGCTGAGGCCTGTATTACTAACTCATCTGACCATATGGTATGTGGTTATTTCACTTGCAGTGTCTGCATCAAGCCTCTTGTAGAGCCAACACTGAGGAAGTGGACAATGGATTTCCAGTATACCAAACTCATAGATAACAATATGCATACCCTATTCTGGCCCTTTGCCCTATAAACTCCCTGACCTCAATCTGAATATCCACACAGCACCAGTAATCATAGATTTGTTTAGGGTTTTTTTTTTTAGTTTAAACAAAAGAAATAGGAGATCAGTTGGTATTGTAACTTTCACTAAAAACGTGTGCTTGACAACTAAACGTTTGAACCAAAAAAGTCCTTTCGAGTGGACTCCTTGCCAGGTGCACTCACATTCCAAAACATTCCCTCTGATCTGGAGAGACCACCTGCAGTGCAGGGAGAAGGGAGTTCAGTTCCCAGGGCCCATTCAGTCCTTGGCCTGTCTCCTGACACTGTCGGTTGAGGGAGGAAGTGGGTTGGGTTTTTTTGTGTTGCCATCTACCCTGTTACCACCACCAACTCTTCATTTTGGGCAGATCACCCAACAGCGTGTAGATGGCAATAAGACTTCCATCACTACTGACACAGGACAATGATCAACGTATCATTTTACTTATTATAAAATGACCCACAACTCAACACCCCACAATAAATTTAAAAAAAAAAAATAATTTTTTTTTTAAAACCTCCACAAGCTAAGAACTTGTCAAAGAACAACAAATGTTCATCTTGTAAATCCTGGCTGTGTCCCTTTCATTTGATTTCAAATTATTACACTTTCTGACTCCAGCTTCAGAGACTACAAATGGATTACTTGTGGTTAACATGCTTTGGCTGCCCTTATTTAGTCTTTGCTACCAGACACCACATTAGACATCCAACAGACTGACCAGCCAAGCAGCATGGTTTAATAACCATTTGCCTTTGTTGGAAAAAAATATGCACTGAAGCCTGATTCCTAGAGACTCCTTACTGATGTGGGTGAGGTGGTTGCTATCTGCAGCAACAAAAAGCAATCCGGATTGGGGTTTTTGTTGTTGTTGTTTTTTAAAATGTTGATAAGAAACATTGGAAATTCCAATCAACTCACAAGCAGCACACTTGAGCATAAAGGATGCAGTCAAAAAAACCAACCCGCCAACCCCCCCAAAAAACCCTCTTCCCTCTTAGGCTTGGTCTACACTTACCCCCCAAGTCGAAGTAAGGTACGCAAATTCAGCTACGTGAATAACGTAGCTGAATTCGACATACCTTACTTTGAACTTACCGCGGTTCAGACGCGGTCCACACGCGGCAGGCAGGCTCCCCGTCGACTCCGCGGTACTCCTCTCGTTGAGCTGAAGTACCGCAGTCGACGGGGATCACTTCCTGGTTCGATTTATCGCGTCCAGACCAGACGCGATAAATCGAACTCGGAACTTCGATCCCCAGCTGCCGAACTAGCGCGGCAGTGTAGACCAGCCCTTAGACTTTGACAGTTAAGCCAAAGAAAAATGTTAGTACCACCCAGATATATATATCCAGCACCCTTTAAAAAAAAAAAAAAAAAAAATTGACTAGCCCGAGACATCCAAAAGCAAGACAGCCAATGCCTGAAATTCTGGAGTGCTGTCAAGATACTCTGTGCCAGGGCTGTAAGCATATGTAAGCTTTGTGGCTGTGGCATTTTAAGAGTAATCTGAAGTGGTCTGTGTTTACTGGTTTAAGTAACATTTAGAGAACGGATCCTGCAGTGTGCTGGGTTGTATGAGGGTGACCGCTGAGAGTAATTTCAAATGGGGTGAGTCCAGCAATATGGTTAGATCTGACCCCTCTGTCAGTCTACATGAAAATAAAGAGCACAATCGGATACATATTGAAGAGATAATGCAAGTTCAGAAATACACTCACAAAATCTACAAGGCTTATCTCCGAGAATTATACAACCCTGATTTCTACATCTTTCGTTTTCCTCTTATTTATTATTTTAAATATCTCTAGTTGATAGGATGAAAACAGAACCACTGATGTGTTGGTATAATACTAAGGTCTGGACTATGCTCTTGGTGCCTACAGATGAGCCCTGGGCTGCAGAGGCCTACACTGCTGCCTAGGTCCCCAGAAAGAATTCGGCTGTTCTGGCCAGTGCAAAGGGCCTGCCTTAAGCCCACCCCTGAGTTCAGGTAGTCGGACATATACGGGAACCAGAAGGCTTGCATTGGCACCATAACGGTCCCTGACCTCACCTTGTGTGCCCATGGAGGGGTCAGCTAAATCTGGCCCTGCTCCACCAGACTACCTGTGTGACCTTGGGCAAGTCAGTTAGCCTCTCCGTGCCCCAGTTCCCAGTCTGAACAATAGGGATATTCATACCGTACTGCCTCACAAGCGTGTTGCGAAGATACATACAATTAAAGATCGTGAGGCACACAGATAATAAGATAATGGTGGTCAGATAAGCACCTTAGATAGATAATAAGCAACTAAAATTATATAGTTGCTTTCTAGAAGAGAGAGTTTAATTTAAAACATATTTATTAAAATAAGAACCAGCAGGATGCATTCCTGGCAAACCTATGTGATCACCAGATCCTATTTTTGTTATAGCCCTCATACTCATTCGCCCTGGCACTCCCCTCCCCCCTTTTTTTTTTGGTCTGTCACTGCATCTTGTTTTATACCCAACCCTACGTTGTAAGCACAGATCTCTGTATTAACTTTGAGCTACTGTGAATCACTGTCCCCATAATAAATGGGAATCAGCACAAAGAAGCATTAAATAATGCCACAACATCAGGCAGTAATATCATCATTAAGATATCCTCCATATGCCTATCACTATAATTACACACAGTTCAGGAGACAGCATACTTACCCAGATTATTATGTGCTGGGGACATAGGATTTGGAGATAAATTTGGAGAACCTGAAAAATCAAGATGATGATGATTAAGCTGGTAACTGCATAGAAAAAACAGTAAAACAGAAACATCAGTGCTGACATGGGTTTTTGGGTCTAAAGATCAAACCAAGAGCACTTATGTTTTTTGGTCTAAGAATATTGTGTTTGCTGCTTAAACCCAATGGATATATATGAAATATGTAACAATCTTGGAATTCTTAAGCATCCCATGCCCCAGTTGAACTTCATTCTGTGATCAGGGAAAGCAAGACTTGCAGTTTCCTCAATGGCCAATTATTATTTACATAGGCTTATAGATACTATCATTATGATACAAAGTAATATTGCTAAGCATCTGCATGCTGCTCCAGGTCTTCATTTACCAGAGACCCAATTTTCAAAACTGTGCACGTAGGCATGTGTGCTTCATTTGCATATGCCATTACTATGACTGCATGTACTATCATGGCAACTACACACAAAGGTAACTACTTAGACAACTACAGCTTTGATTTTCTGTTGCCCTGCACCCTATGTATTTATTTACACTAGTGCAAAATTATTGCAAAGTGAGTGTAACTCACTATCAGAGAAGCATGGTAGCATGTTATGCTCACTTTGCAATGGTGAAAATTACCATATAGGTAAGGCCCATGGAGAATCAGGTGATTAAAGGTAAATTTGCATGCGCAATTACCAGCGTTGTAGGTTTTATCATTCTAATTCTGTATGGAAAATATGCACATATATTTTGAACATCTGAACAGAATTTGTTCCAACAAAAAAAGGAGGCATTACACGGGAGTTTTGCAAGAAAATACGAAGGCTCGGCAGGCATGAGAGCACATTGCAGAGCCTTGCCTTCCACTGAGCTCCGTTAGCTTTTTAAAAAATCCATTCTTATAAAAAGAACAAAGCCCATGACATGTGAGGGAGTGGAAGACCCGCAGAGAGAACGGATATAGCATTTGAACACAAATTGGGCATTTATGGTATCTTCTCAGCCAACTCTGTTCCAGTATTTCATCCCAAAAGGCCCTATTTACATTCCGGATGTCAACCACAGTACCAATAATTGCATGGACCAAAATGGATTATGTCAGTAGGCTCACGTTTGATATGGACAAACAAACCCACGCTTGCCTTCCTCCATCTGTATCATTGTGGAGAAAGTCTGTAAATCTGTCATTCCTCTTTTAGAATCCCACATGCACTCTGAAGTCCAAGACATGCACAGAAAGGGAGCTGACTGTGTGCAGTATCTGCATTAATTAGTTCCTGCACTCCCTTTGTTTGAATGCAGCCCATATTTGTGTATTTCTCTTTTCAAGCAGTAATCATTTTAACCAGAGATGTGTCTTTGTTTTTCAACCACAGCTTTTACAAACTAAGGGACGGATTCAGCAACTCTTATTAACAAGGGTAACTCCAACATCAACAGGATGTCTTGGGTAAGGATTACTTATGTGAGTGAGGGCTGTAGGCCCTCATCTGTTTAACTACCTTAACGGCCATATCACATTGGCGGCTCAGAGTCATCCTGTGATCAACCAATACTCCGAGGTCCTTCTCCTCCTCTGTTACTTCCAACTGATGTGTCCCCAATTTATAACCAAAATTCTTGTTATTAATCCCTAAATGCATGATTAATCCCTAAATGCAAGGGCAAACACTTGGTCTGATCACACTATTGCTTTCAATGAATGAGCTGACTGGGTACACAATTTGTGCATGCATGCACAGTTCTAATAATGAGTACCCAGACTAAATGCTGACACTAGAACTTCTGACTGCAAGGAAAGGTGGGAGGCCAGTGGTCAGTGCTCCACTCTCCTGTTTACTAGTAAGTGTCTAGCAGCCGGTGCTCTGGGGCACGGGAGTGCATGGTGAATCTTTTTCCAGTGGGTTTAAGGTGCGTTATACAGTGTAGGCTGCCCTGCGGAATCCAAACTGCATCTGTCCTGCACCATTTTTGCTGCCAGAAGCAAAAAAAAAAAAATCTACTCATCAGCACTCAAAAGAGAAGCCTAGATATAAAAATGGCCCCAAAACCAAAATCCTCTGCATGTTATAGTGTAACAAATAAATATGCAATATAATGACATATTTAAAGGGTCAGATGCCAAGACCCTTAGTCAGGGAACTCGCTGGTGGCCTAAGAACTAAGTAAGAGTCTCAGGATTTGACCCAGAAAGCTACAGGAAACCGCCAAAGATGACCCACCTGCATCCATGCTGTGGTTCATCTGATGGTCACTGGTTTCTCCATCCTCACTCAGATAACCTGGAGGAGGTGTCTCTGGAAATCAGGAGATTAAACTGTCAATTACAGTTGATTGCAGAGTTCATACATTATCAAAATAAATTTCTCTGATCTCTATTCATAGCAGACCAATGAAATACTTTATAAAGGGGGAGGGAACACAAGAAGGTGAGTAGAGGCCATAGGAGGCCTTTTTATGATAACGGAGCAGAAGATCAGGATTTTAGTTTCAGATAAAATTTCACAATGATTTTGCAGTTTTCCTTCCTCTTGTTTTTCTCTTCTCTGAATTGCACCTTCCTGGACTGTCAGTATAGCTGAGCTGTAGGCCTATAATGGATACACACCCTTATGCAGATATACAGTAAGATATGCTAAATAGCTTTTTCAAATTCACAAAGGCTTATCCAAATGTGAAATGGCTAAATTTTGTCTGAACCTGAATTTGTTTTCAGAAAGTTCTCTCAACACTAGACTCTACAATGTATTTTAAATCCATCCCACTGAGGGGGCAGAGCAGAACGTACAGCAAAGCATTTAAGCAGCGGCGTGTGCATTTTTGAACTTTGGTTAATATACCACTGTGCTAAAATCAGAGCTTAAGAATGGGTTCTGTCTACCTCAAGATCCGAACACAATCTGGTTCAGCCAGTTAGGGAGCCCAGGAGTTCTAAAGGTTAATGAGGAGAGTAATGATGGAATGGAGAAAAACAGAGCTCAGCCAGTGTGCCACATAACCCTTGGGGCCTAATATTAAACCTACAGGACATATGTATCAGTCATTTACTGGGCAATAGGCCCTTTCTTCACCCCCTTTGTTTGCTAGATGGAGGCCATACTGTACCTGGAATGTAGTTGCTTTGTGGCTCAATACCTGCCGGGAAGTTAGTGTTCTCTGGAATGGAATGACTATAATCGTCCAATGGCGGGAACTCTGCTGGAATTTCTGTGTGCCTTGGGACCAGCACTGGAGGTAAAACTGAACAGATGGAAAGAAAACAGAGCAGGACAATGACATTAGCAGCAAGTTTATAACATGACACCTTACACTGACCCAACATGAAATATTGGAAAATGAGGAGAAACCCACTCCTTGGAATAGCACTCTCACACATGCAGGTAACTCCAATCAGCATTCAGAACTATGCAAGTGGCTCCAGGAAAGGCTAGTGGTAAAATATTACTAAGTGCTGACAAGATGTTTGGTGCTGTATAGGACACAAAAATAAAGACAATCCCTACTCTGAGATATTAGCAATCTAAGAGAGAGTCACAGAGAAGACAAGATACATCAGGAGATGGAAAAAGAAAATTCTAAGTTAGAGCAAAGTTAATATTGTAGGGTCTCTGTATAGAAATCTAGGGCTGTTCTGCTGACTGACACTGAAAGATAGACCAGCGAGATCCTATTAGCAACAACTATGGATATAAGAGAGAGTTTGAATCTCTCAGAGGCACAGGGAGCTAGGGACAAATAGAGGGTTAGTGCAGGGAGCAATCCTTAGAAACAGCTACACTCATCACCAAAATAAGTAAATAAAGAACATCCAAGGAAGAGAATTAAAGTTTGGACTCTCTCTATGGGCTTGTCTACACTACCCGCCGGATCAGCGGGCAGCGATCAATCCAGTGGGGGTCGATTTATCGCGTCTAGTATAGACACAATAAATCGACCACTGAGTGCTCTCCCGCCGATTCCAGTACTCCACCAGAACGAGGAGCGCAAGCAGACTCGATGGGAGAGCGTTAGCTGTCGACTTACCACAGTGAAGACACAGCGGTAAGTAGATCTAAGTACGTTGACTTCAGCTACACTATTCACGTAGCTGAAGCTGCATATCTTAGATCGACCCCGCACGGTAGTGTAGACAAGCCCTATATGTCCACACAAATAATATGTTTGGAGCTTGGCAGGAATGCAACCTGCTTAAACTTAGATTTTGTTGATTTGTGTGTGCTGAAGTTTCCCTCTCTTCACCATAAATAAAGATGTAGATAGATGCATTATTTCACCACAAGAAGTGGGAGGGAGCTAGGGAGGGGTAGCTAATAATAGAAACCTTTTGGTTTTAAAACACCACGCATGCTATTTTTATTTTGTCCTGAAACTTTAAAAAGAGACTCCTGCCCTTGCATGGAAAGGTTGAAATACCCAGAATATCCACAATACCTGGAGTCTCCACTCTTTGGTAGTGATAGGGGTTGACACAGACTTCATCTTTCTTCATGTTAAAGGCATACTCGCACATCTCCATGGCACGCAGCTCATGGTGGCTATGAAGGTCTGGCCAACGCCATAGCCGGCAGTAGATCACATGGGGAAGCCCTTTACGGTGGGATACTTGCAACCGGCCATCTAGTGATCTGCATTAAGAAAATAATGATGATAATGAACATGTATGTGTTTTGCTTTTCTTCATCTCAGAGATGTACAGTATTAAAGAAAACTGACAAAAGTCAACAACCGGCCTGGAACTAATGTATATGTAAAAATACATACAAACTATTGACCAGGCTCTGACTGGTGCTGTGCGAAGGTACCCAACAGGAAGGTTGCAGCTAGCAGCAGGAGAATGAAAGATGCCCTGATGTGGCTCCCCTCAAAATCCAGAGGCCACTTCTCTGCAATAGGAGCTGCAAAGAAGTATTCTGGGACACGGCCTAGATATGTAAGGAAGTCTGGGTGTGTGTCAGTTTCTCTGACTCACAGATGGCTTTATTCATTAACAGCCCTGGGGCAGATCATTCATGCTCCTGGCAGAAACTAATTTGGGGGCAAAGAGAACGGTGCTGTGGGGGAGGCTGCTGCCTACCAGAATACAGCACATGAATGGTGCTTCTGAAGCATGATTACTTGCCCTATTGAAGAGACCCTTTGGATAGCTCTAAGAATTTGGCCCTACACATGTAAAGACAATATGTTTTAAAAACATATTAATGAAAGGTTATAACTTTTAAAAAACATAAAAAGACATTATAGTCTATTGCATTGTGATCATCCACAATGCAGATGCAGAATAAAATTAATACAGGCACTCACATTTTTAAATGCCAACAAAAAATTACTATATGCCAATTTCCTACACTTAAGATGCCTAAATAAACGGGGGTGGGTGGGGGGGGAATGAAACCAGAAGACCTGCTCCACAGTCTGTAGGTAAGAACATGAAACCTCTATGTTTAGGGTGTTTAAACAATTATTATTCCTACACTGAGTTGTCCCCAAAAATCTATAAATAAACAGAATTGTTTTCCCACTAAATCCTCTGTCTGGGTTCAGGAAGTAGTGATTTCCCCACCCCAAAGAGTTATAAACTAGCCTAAAAAACAGGCTGGAGGATGGCAGCCCAACAAGACTCTTCCCAAAAGCAGAGCTAGCGGGCCTGTTATAACATACACACACCTCTTGTAAACATCTTTATAACAAAGAGTGATGTAACAAATAACTAATACTGGCTACAGCTGACATGCACTTCATTTGGCAATGTAGCAGAACTCGCAGGTTGCAAACAACTGTATGCAGAAAGCATATAAGGAATCTGTACCACCGAGGGGCCTGCTCTCACAGGTTATAAAAACACCCAAAACCAGTGATTATGTTACAGCCCTGAAATATGGCTTAGAGCCCATGGGGCTTATTTATAGTATACACGTATTTCTTTATGGTGCTCCTCTGTTATTATTTATGGATCACACATTCTCAATGTGCAAAAACAGGGCAAGGGTGTATCCCACTCTTTAGATTTTTCCTTGAAGGGGAGGTCAAACACTTGAATATCTGGCATATTTACCAAATCTCCTCTCAGACTGAGCTTTGCTGCTAACAATCTGCCTCATTCCTTTTTAGGACATTTCAAGCAGGAAATAGGATTTTCAGGTGAAAGACTCAACAGAAGAAGGCCAAATATAAAATGTTTCTGAGGAAATAGGAAGGACTTGCATGTCAGAATAAAGTATTCTATCAAAACCCAGGTGACTGGTGACCAGGGATGGTATTCGGGCACACTGGGGGCTTGATGGAAGGGAATTATTAGAAATGGATTTATCCAGATTCTAGAGCAACCAGTTCAACAAAATCTACATTACCTAAAGTTATAGGGCCTGACTGGGCTTCCAGTGAGATAAATGGGAGCTTTGGCATTGATTTCAGTGGGAGCAGGATTAGATCTTTATTCTCCATCTACTAGTTGATGATAACGTGGAAAATTTCTAAGTCAATATCAACAGGTTCAAAATTATTATTTTCACACAGGAGGAGTTTGTTTATTAAAGTTAAGCAAAGAAACAAGGAATTAAATCAGACCACTTTTTTTCCCCACTTCCTCGGTACTGACAATGTTTAAAAAGTCAGTGTCCGCAAGGAAGGACAAAGTTATTTAGTGTAGTTCACCACATCTGAATGGGGGCAAAGGACAGAGGAGAAAAATAGCATATAGATTATCACAATCATCCCAGTCCCACAGAAAGCATAATCCTGACACATTTTCCAACAATTTCCAATCACTGTTGCCATTACAGCGGCACAGACAGATTTAGATTGACATTAATAGCTGTCTGCTGTACAAACTGAAGGGGAAAGTTAATCCGTTTCCTCATGTGTCTTCACTTCTTCAGCAAGCCTTCAAAGAAAGACAGAAGGTCTAACACAGATCATGCACCACCTGGGAATGACCGGTGAGCAAGGATCTTTCTCCTATACATTTGTCAGGATGGGACAGACTTTTTATACCTACAAGGTGAATTCTCCCATCAGTTGGAGGGAAGATCAATCTCCTCCCAGTACTCCAAGTACCCTTGGTAAAAGATGTTGAGGGGAATAGGGGGAGGTGAGGTGAAGCAATGCAAATGAGTTGGCCTTGTATGTCTTACTCATTTCCTGGATGCCATGTGAGAACAAATGCAAACTTTCACAGAGTTTCCAAATATCCAGCAAGAACAGCCAACAAAAATCCAGGAAAGCTGTGTCAGTCCCTGTTGCTTCTCCTGCCTGTCTGTACTTATATTCCCATTGTGACAGTAGAGCATGTGGTATACAAGAGAGGATGAAAATGCAGGAAGGAGGTTAAGTTTATTTATTTTTAAATCAAGTATCCTTTACCCCATACATGGGTCACTGGATTTTGTCACGTGTTAAATGAGAAACACGCTTGTGTACCCATACATGCACAGTGACTGGTAGAGGGACTGAACCTGGAAGCAAAAGCCTTAGCCTTTGCTGTCTGACTAAATCAGTAAGTCTGCCAGATAACACTAAGTCCTTGTCTACTCTACCGGGATAAGTCGACCTAAGTTACACTACTCCAGCTACGTGAATAACGTGGCTGGAGTTGACATAGCTTAGGTCGACTTACTGCTGTGTCTACACTGCACTGCGTCGATGGGAGATGCTCTCTCATCAACTTACCTTTCTCTTCTCGTTTCGGTTGAGTACCGGAATTGACCAGAGAGCACTCTGCAGTCGATTTAGTGGGTCTTCACTAGACCCGCTAAATCGACCCCCCGCTGCATCGATCGCAGAGGCGTCGATCTCCGGTAAGTGTAGACATGGTCTAAGTAGATGGCTTTGCCCTACCTGGAGTCAGCAACAAGAGATACTAAGCCAGGATCCTGCCTCAATACCCATCTAGATGTTTAAACCATGGTAAACTCAAACTCTGAATAGCTCTATTGTGATTATGTGAAACAACAACAGGCTAAAAACAGATAATTCACAGTGACTTCTTCTGAAGCTCCATATTTTTGTTAGATATTATGCAAGCTGTAGAAAGTGTGTTTGGTATCTGAAGTTACTTGCAATCTGAGTGCTATTTCTGTGATAGGAAAGGAGAAGAGATGGACCAGTCAAGGGTCTTATCTAAGGAAAACCTTCTGAAACAGAGCAGAATACATTTTATTTCAGAACACAGTAATAATGAAAGGCGATAGAGGAAACTCTCCTATGGGTTAATTATATTTTCATTCTTGTGAAATCTCTCTTCAGCCTCTCTGCAAAGGGATTTGGGATGTAACAGCCCCACTGGTGTCTTCTTGGGAAGAACGCCAGCTGGGTTGTAGGGCAGCCTTGCGTCTTCTGTTGCCCCATCTGATACTGGACACTGTCTGAGATGGGATACCAGACTAGAGGGACTGATCCAGCATGCCAATTCCTATTTTCTTATGACTGAGGGGTTTACTGGGCTATAAACATGCTGCTCAGTAAGCTACCACAATCTGCTTAGCATCTCGCCATGTGATGCACTGGAATGATCCAAACAACATTCATTCAATTAAATTCCTGCTACACTGGTCTAAGTTGCTCATGCAAAAGAAATATACTCAATGCACCGTTGGCTTCCATTTTGTTTTTATTTAGTTTATTATTTATTACTAGTTTCTGGCAGCACCCATAGCGTGCTAGGTGCTGTGCAAACATAAAAGAAGGCTCGTTAGGCACGAGCTTTTCTTTGGGGGGAGGGATAGCTCAGTGGTTTGAGCATTGGCTTGCTAAACCCAGGATTGTGAATTCAATCCTTGAGGGGGCCACTTAGGGATCTGGGGCAAAAATCAGTACTTGGTCCTGCTAGTGAAGGCAGGGGGCTGGACTCGATGACCTTTCAGGGGTCCCTTCCAGTTCTATGAGATAGACAGACAGACAGACACAGACAGACAGATCGATCGATCTCCATGGTCCCTGCCATGATAGGATAGAGGCAAGTCTCACTACCAAAAGAAGCAGGACTGAGGAGAAGATTACCCGTATATCCTCCCCTCAGTGCTTGGATGATACTATGATGCGTGGTGGGGAAGTGATTACATTTGTGACCCAGATGGGAGGAGTTAATCATTAGAATTTCTATCCTCCTGTGGCACTGCAAGCTCTGTGTGAGTCTTCTCCCTGTGCTACTTTCATCCAATTCGAACACACCAGGACACAGATAATGCTGTAATGCATCTTCAAGTATTTCTCCAAGATGCTCCTTTCTGTAAAAGGGTTGGAAGGAACACATGGTGCCAACTAGCAGGAGCAGATGTCAATGACTAGAAAAAGGCAGTGGCTTTTGGAACAGCTAACTGCAACAGCACAAAGCCTTTTGTTTTTTAGCTTGCTTATTTAACAATGCTTTCCAGCACAGGAGGTCTGCAGCCTGAGGCATTCCTGGTTTGTACTAAGTAGAGTTCTGCTTGGTTGATATGGAAGGATATTTGGAGGCGGAAGCACTGAAACTGAGGCAGTAACTGGAACATGGGAGCCTGATTACCATACTCAATGGAAGTTTACTGAAAACCTGAGTAAGCAGATTTCTCTCTCTCTCTCTCTCTCTCTCTCTCTCTCACACACACACACGCGCACACACACACACACAGTAGATCTCTCCACTAAGCAG